GTTCCCGGGGAACTAGGCTTCCCCCGTAGTGGATACTCGGGTACCGAGAGCCCGTGACGAGCCCTCTCGGGGAATCGATGCGGGCCGAGGTTCCTCCGGGTGGACCACCGAGGGCCCGAGAGCCCTTGACCAGCTCTCTCGGGAAAAGGGGCGGGCATGCCCTTCCGGGGGTAGCGTCCAACTCCTCAGGAAATTAGAGAGCGCTATGCCACATGGACATCAAGATCCCGCGGGTACCCGCGGTGGAGCGGTCCGAGTACGAAACTTCGCGCGCAATACTCCAGAGACCGAAGATGACGTTGATCCAGTGTCGGAAGGTCGAGACGAGTCAGGATCAAGATATTCCTGACTGCCTGCCTTCGGACAAAGCGCCGTCGGAGATTCGACCGTTGGATCTAACGTCTGTCGCAAGTGAGGAGTCGGATCTGTCGTCTATCGCAGATGATGATTCTATATCGCATGCTGTAACGGTCGAGGAGGCGCTAGAAGATCTCGATGAAGTAACGCCAGACGTGGGGGCGACGGATCCGTCGTTGGAAGAAACTACAAGTGCAGTAGAGGCGCGAGAGGAAGAAGACCGAGATGGAATTGGGGTCATCAACCAGGATCAACTACATTCGAGGGGTCGGGATTAAGGAACACCACTGCCGAAATGCGGTGGATCTGATCCGCCATCAATGGTCGGTGTACAATCTGGGACGGGACATGTGACCAGTGATCCGTTGAACGACAAGTGCGCCGCATCGATGTCGCAAAAAAACGGACATGTATCCATCACCTGTTGTTGAAGATCAACCAGGCGCGTCGGATCTGAACCTCACCTGGGACTCAGATCAAGATTATGATGAATGTGTATATTATCATGAAGGAAGTGATCTGTACGCGGAAGATGTTGACGGTCAGATAGGGGTACTGCCAGAAGTACCTGTGACGACGGAAGATGTGAAGGTCGAGGGCATTTAGCTATGTGGATCTGATAATCAGACCCCAGAATAAGTTGATCGACTTCGCCAAAGGATCTGGAAGTTCCGACAGCTCTTGATCGGCAAAGGCAATGTCCTTCCGCTGCCGGCCAGAAGTGTTGTATATGACATCGACGTCGGAGGAGCGAGGCATATTGCCCTGAAGTGTCGTAAGTTGCGAATCCAGTTTAGGGAAAAGCTGACAGACCTGATCAAGGGTCTGTTGTCTACCAAGATGATCAATTACTCTAGGTCACCGTGGGCTTCCTGATCGTGGTCATCATTAAGAAGAATGGAGTGGATATCAGGCTGTGCATCGATTATCAGTTAGTTGATAGTCTAGTTCAGCTGATGAACTACCCAATGCCCTTGATCAACGACTTATTTGAAGATCTGGAGTCGACACTTTGGTACTGTTCTTTGGATATGGCGAGTGATCTTTGGGTGGTGAAAATGACGGATCGTGCTCGTTGGATCTCCCCCATTGGGGCTATTTGAATGGAATCGAATACCCTTCGGCTTGAAGAATGTGCCCCAGATCTACCAACGTATGATCGACAACGCACTTTATGGATTCACCCGGATCCCGAAGTCTGAAGATCATGGAATTACTTTGGATGTGTTTAAGAACGGGGAACCGGTGGATCCAGACAAGCCATCGGTGCATGGGCGTAGATCATACATCGACCACATCCTGATCCCAGCCAATAACTGGGATCAACTATGTGATCGAGTTGAAGGTGTAGTCGAAGCGTGCGATAAGTGGAATCTGTTGATCAGTGTGGTCAAGAGTTTCTGGGGAATGCCTAATGTGGAATATCTGGGTCATAAGGTCTCCCACAATGGACTGGAGGTGAACTCGAAAGACCTGTCGACATTGACGGATCTAGCATTTCCGGGATCACTTAGAGCCATGCAGTCATTTTTGGGAAGTCTAAACTATTACAGCCGATTTATCGAAGGCTACGCGATCTACGCGTCAGTTCTGTATGAGTTAGGAGAAATCGACGTTGCTGTGATGATGAAAGAGACCACCCAAGCGCAAATCCAACAAGTGTTGAAGGCGGAGAATGCTGATCAAGGATCGCGGGAAGATCAGGAAGTCGACCACCGAAAGACTTTGGATCCGGAGGCGCCATACTGAAGTGGATCCGCGTTGGATCCATGCCCATCGGTCCTTCGGTGTGCTTAAAGCCAAGATCGCTACTACTCCGATCTTACGGTACTTTGATCCAGATCGGAGAGCTACGGTCGTGGTGTATACTAGCGATTGGGCCATTTCGAGATCATTGATGCAGGATCACGACCAGATCTACAACCCCGGGTTGTTTGCGAGCCGTACTCTGAAGTCGAATGAGCTGAATTACGGCATAGCAGAGAAGGAGGTAGTAGTCCTTCTAAGGATCCTGGATCTTAACTACAATGCACTGATCGGGTGTCCGATCCTCGTGTTGACCCGACACTCTACTTTGGCGTGGTTCGTCAGACCCACAGCTCTACAAGGACGTCTAGGACAGTGGGCTGCTCTGTTGTCGCCCTGGACTCTTGAGATCACCAAGTATGTCAAAGGAGAGGACGAGATCTTAGGAGAATTGGCAGCCAGTATTACTCCTAGATCTGAAAGGGATCAGGCTTTAATCTCGATCGCCCCAAAAAAGAAGCCAAGGCGCAAGATCCACGCTCCGATCTCCACTATTTGACGCGATGAGGATCTATATGTCGTTAGCTTCGATGGATCTGCTCGTGTCAAGAGAGGTGGAGGCGCCTACAGCGCGATCTTGTGGAAACTGCCTGAATGGAGGGTGTTGAAGGCTAGATCTGGATACGCCGAAGGCTTGACGGTGAACGAGGCGGAATACCATGGACTGTTGCTATGTTTGGATCTGTTGCAAGGTCTGGATCAACGATGTCTGGTGATCTGGGGAGACTCGAACCTGGTGATCTGACAAGTTCGAGGTGATATCAATTGTAAGGCACCGGGTTTGACCTGTTACGTCAGCGGGCTTTGGATCGACTACGTGCTTGGTCGGATCACGAGCTATTGCATGTTAAGCGAGATTGGAATGAGGGTGCCGACAGACAATGTGGGATCGAGGTTGAGACTGAAGAGGAGATCCAGGATCTAGTGACCTTGGACCGGTTGGATAAGATCCTGATAGTGAAGATCGAAGACGATATCGCACAGATATCTGCCGTAACGACCCGATCTAAGGCTAGATCTGGAGTGCGTATCGGATCTGATCCAGACTCACTACGTGAGGAAGTTGTGAGAGAGCTGAGGATCGAGCGGATCCGGCAAGCAAAGGATGAGGAGTCATGGATCTCGGGTCTGAAGAAGTATTTGGTTGGAGAGATCTGGGATCTGACACAAGAGGATGCTAAGGTGTTTGGATCTATTGCCATGAATTACGAAGTGGATCAGTCGGATCTACTATTCTACTGCCCGACAACTAAGGGCGCAGCAGCAGATCGAGACAAGTTGATGTGATTGGTGATACCTGAGACGCTTCAACAGGACATTTTGCATCACTATCACACGAGCCTACAGGGATCGGTCGCACCTATGATCGGATCCGCGATCATTTCCACTGGAGAGGGCTGTACAAGAG